GTGTGGAGAAAACTATTAGACATTTGTCATAAAATGACATATAATCACAATGTCACATTGAGAATGAAGTGTCTTACTTGTTGAGGGATTTGGGGGGAAACTCAAACTCGCCGACTGAGATCGTGTCCACAGCGTTCAGGGAAATTCGGACCACCTGCTGACACTGGAGGTTTATGAAGTCATATTTGCACACCAACAAAGACCTGCAACAAACCAGCAGCTCGTTCAGAACCCGTTTCCTGATACTAATGTATTAAACACAATTCTCAATGATGATTTACTTCCACTTACCTCTCAGTTATAAGTACCAGTCTCTCTTTTTCATTGTTCCAGTGATCAATTCTGTGGTAAAAATATAAAGAGCACATGAATCTGGCTGAACAGACATCTGTCAAATTCTGCTGCATAATAAGAGAAGCGGTATAGTGACGTTATCAGATGTTAACATCAGTACTTTGATGTGCAATAACTGCCAGATACTATATTCACATGGTATTTACATAGTACTCCAAGCTACTTCAAAAGCATATCATGGTTCTCTCATAGTACTGTAAATGTAAAAAACAGGATTTCCCAAAAGCCAGTACCATGGTATGTTTTTGTGTAAAGGTTGCAATCAAGATCCTGTTCATTTAAAAATGCATGCAATAAAAGTAAAAATGATATTGTGCTATAAAAGGGTGGCAATGGACTCACTCTGCTAGCAGCCACACGCTAAGAACCTCTCCATCTTCTGAAGGCAAGGCAACCGTGCGGATATCATTGACCGCCTGCTCTATCGTTCCTGGCTGAGACCAGGGGGGGGAAAAAGAGCAGCTTATTTAGGCCTAGATGCTTGAAACTAGAAAATAAATAAATGCAACTTATGTCTACTGTGTAGTTAAAGTCCTTATAGGCCAGTGGTTCTCAACTTTTTGACTCCAAGGTTTCCATTTTCCCCCAAAAAAATATTCGGTGGGCCCATGACTTGTCCAGGTGTTTGTGGTTTACAGGATAAGCATCAAAATGTTTTTAAAAACATTTTTCATTCACAATTTCTTTATTGTAAAATATGGCATACCTAGAAAAACCATATATAAAATTGCCCATGAAATTATAAGATTTTATTAATTTACATGACCTTTTCAGGTCAAGAAAACACACCTTTATACACTCTAAAAAATGCCGGGTTGTTTCAA